TAAGAAAATTTATTGGGCTTCAAACCTTTTATTTTTGCTTTTCCCGCCCCAAAATTGTCTCTAACCTAATTATTAATAATTAATCATTTCTGTTGCGACTTTAAATATTTGGAAGCATCCCAAACGGAAACGAGGGTTTAAATTGAGAGAATTAAATTTTTTTCACTTTATAGAATTTTGTTGTCATGACTTTAAAAAAAACTTGCCTGCATGAACAGTAGAAGGATGAAAAAGAAAACATCATTTTCGTGACAGCTGTCGATTTTTGATAAAAGAATGTGCTTAAAAAATTTCCTCGAGAGCAATATGATTGCTCACGTTTTAGATGAAAAACCATAAATTGTTGGCTTTTGTCATTATTCTGTGGAGAAAGAAGCAAGGGAGGAGGAACTGACAATGAAGTGAAAAATAACGAGTTTTCTTGGTATTTTCTTTGAATGTTTTTTTTATTAATAAATTGTTTGTGTGACTGACAATGCGTCTATGGCAATGATATCCACTTTTAAAGTACTGCAAAAGTGGTAGGGATCTTTATTAAGTTATTATGCAGTCCTCATGAAGTCCTTATGTAGTCTTTAAGTAGTCGTTATGCAGTCCTCATGCGGTCCTAATGTGGTCTTCATGTGATCCTCATGTGTTCCTTATGTGGTCCTCATGTGGTCCTCATGTGGTACTTATGTGGTCTTCAGATGGTCCTCATATGGTCCTTATGTGGTCTTCAGATGGTCCTCATGTGATCCTTATGCTGTCCTCATGCAGTCCTCATGCAGTCCTCAGATGGTCCTCATATGGTCCTTATGTGGTCTTCAGATGGTCCTCATGTGGTCCTCATGTGATCCTCATGTGATCTCCAGATGGTCCTCATGTGGTTATCATGCAGTCCTCATGAAGTTTGCATGTAGTTCTCATTTAGTGCTTATGAAATCCTCATATAGTTTTCCTGTAGTTCTCATGTGGTCCTCATGTGGTCCTTATGCTGTCCTCATGCAGTCCTCATGTAGTTTACATGCAGTCCTCAAATATAGTCTAGTATTTGACACTCGGTTTATTCGAAGATGATTCTTATACATTTTTGACAAAACAACAACAGAGTTCTAGCTCAGCTGTTCTATTTAAGGTTACATCCTTGATATTTGCAAAATTACTATAGTAGCGAGGTGTGTCATTAACAAAGACTTTTGAACTTCACATGACATTTATGTAAAGACTATTAAAGGTTACTCATATTTCAACAACGCAGAACTTCCATGGAATCACTGAATCACAACATGATGAATACATTTTTATTGCTTCACTAAAACTCACTTTACAACGCCTGCTGACTAATCATTCAACTAAAAATCTACAGAAATATTTTCAAAAGGCTCAGAAAAGCTTTTGTTTTGCGCCAAAAAGAAGTTCGTTCGGAAAATTTTCAAAGGAAAAACTTTTTATACTTTTTGGGAAAATGAAAAGGAGAAAAAGCTTCTTGCCTTCTTCTTTAAGTTTAAGTTTTATTAAAAATTTTCCATTTCATCATATCTTTTAGGTGCTAAAAGTTATCACACAATGCTGAACATTAAGGAATGAAAAGGAGAAGAAAAAAAAATGAAAAATGATAATTTTATGAAAAAGTTTCTTGATGTCGAAAATTCATTAATTAAAAATTAATTTGATTAAGTACGTAAGTGGATTCTTCTTGATGTAAAATAATTATTAAAAAAATCTGTAAAATAATTTTGCGCCTACGCGAACAATAAAAAAGGAACAAAAAGTGACGATTATACAAAAAAGTGCTGAATAATTGCTATAATATTAATTAAATTGAAATTATTACAAAGAATAAGCCACGAGTCGGATTCGGAACCATAATTTTTTGTGTATTGAGGATCAAGTGGAATCGACACCGTAAGTTGGAAAGCATTTTAATTGTTTGGAACACTTCAGAAAATTGATTGAAAGTAAACAAAATTGTTTCGGAAATTCTTATTGATTTTTATGGCACATAACTATTATTTGGACAAAAGCGTATGTATGTCGTATACAATAACATTAATCTTTATGATTATAGTCAAAGTTTTTCAGCAATAACCCTTTCTTGTGCTTACAAGGCTTAACATGATATAAATTTTGGGTCGTTTAAATAAAATTTTATTGACAAAAAGCCTTTGGGAGGGTTGAGAAAGAATTGGAAGTTAAACTTTTGAACCGAAAGTTTGTCATGAAGAGTTTATGTCATGAGGTTGTTTTTAGGGGTCATTGTGAGATATTTTGTAGTACTGTATGTTCTGTTATGTTCTACACAAAGTTTTCTTATTCACAGTTCAAAATTTGGTTCTACAAAGAGAATTACATTGAATTTCAATGAGGATTTAAAAATAGATATGGACTTTGTATTTGATTGTGACTTAATAATAAAAACGTGAGATGGTTCCAACCAAGCGATGTGTTACTACACGTTGCGACGAGCTGGAGGCACTGTCATCCTGCTCATTAATGTGATTTAAGATTGTCAAATCACGTGCGTATCCAATGGAGGTCGAAGATTGTGTGTTTATGGTACACATATTTTAATCTGTAATAATAATATATTGAAAATCTCTATCTCCAGTAGAATAAAAATAGCAAGAAGGAAGATAAGAGGGGGAGGGGGAGTATGAAGGGGGAAGGACTTTAGCCTTGACGTGTGTTGATCTCCCTATAACCCACATATAATGAAAAACAAGTCGGGCTCGATGGGAATTGAACCGACGACCTCAAAAGAGGCGATCTCTGACCACTCGATCTGAAATCCTTGCCACTCGGCTACCGAGGTACTTATCTCACTTCAGCTATCCGTCATACACATATAACCAGTTTAAACGCAACTCTATGTTCAGTCCTATCTACTACAGATATGCTCTTAAAGCCACATCCACAATATGCTCTTTGTTCATGTTCATATCTTCATTCCTTCATTTCTTCATGAATAATCATTTAAGCTCAAAAATGCAATAATTCACCACCCGAATTCAGGAGTTATTCATGAAAAATAATACTTTCTTGTACATTCTCCAGATTTACATACAGTTCCCAAAATCCCTACAAAAATACTTAGTTCCAAATGAAATAATTCATAATCATATTTCACCTAATCAAGGCACAATGCTACAAAGACTGAAACTCGTTCTAGAAAAGTGCTTTTGGGTTAGAAGCAGCAGCAGCAGTTTCTAAAAACATATAGGAGGTTCCAACTCCACATGAACAGTTTGGGAAATTTTCCACATTCATCATATGCAAACAAAAATGTGGAACTGTATGTTGAACAAAAAATAAAGCAATAAAAAACGGTAGAGTATAAAAAAAAGAACTAAAAAGAAAAACAAGGCGAAACTCTTTTTTTTTCGGTGGATAAAAATGTACATGTTGATTTAACGCTTTGTACAAACATATGGCGATGATGAATTTTTAATTAGTCACACTCGTAAATTCACACACATCCGCATAACAATAACGAACTTTTTTCATTTCCATTTCACATATTGCGAGCGAAAGTTTTTGTATTTTGTTGTGCCTTCTTTCGACGCAATTTTTGCTGCAAGTTATTTTTTGGGAAAAGATTATAAAAGTGGAACATTTAGCAGTCACGGTTTGTCTGTCCATCGTAATGTCAATTAAAAATTTGGACCGCTGTCTAAATTGAATCTTTGTTTGCTGAACACTTTCAATTAAAGGTTGGAAAACATTTAGAGCACTTAAGATGGATTGACATTAGAGTTCAAGGATGTTACATTGACAAAGCTTTGTTGTAGAAGTGATTTTGCTTATGAAATATGTAAGATGTTAAGTAATCAGTCTAATGTCAATGATTTTAGAGATTGTAGGCTATCAACAACTGTCCTGATTGCCACAAGTACGAATTACATTATTGAAAGGTTGATGAGACTCCAGCGAAACTCTCATTCGAATTTAAAAGATCAAAGTTGATCATAATGACAGGCAAGTGTTTGTGCGTTGTTTGGAGCTTGTGAATTAACCAGTTCACCTTTATAGAATTAAATTTGAAAGCAGGAGTGCTTAAACTATGCTCTGCGACACACTATATAAAAGGTCAGTGTTTCTCAAACTTTTGGGACCTCTACACAGTAATTTGTTTAGTATCGTTTCGTGGGGATAGTTTGAGAAACACTGCAATAGGCCGTCCACACTCCCAAACGAACTGTCTCATGACTTCTGTCTTATCTCGATAATAACTTTTATACTTTAGAAGCTCCAAATATTTCATTAACACTGCTTTATAAAAGAGTTGCGGGGTAGGTAGTTTCTGTAGACAGGCAATGACAGATCGCGATTTTGTTTTATAATATATGATGATTCATAGACATGACTCCCCCCCCCATAAAAAGTTTAAGCCGTGCTCTAGCTCTTGCGGTTCTTTGGAATGAGAAGAGGGGAGGGGGGAGGTGGTTCAGACCCTCCTGGATAAAATGTCTGACATTATGATTAAGGCTCAGTTTTCAGTAAATTCCAAAAAAAACCTAACCCCAAAATTGTGCTGTTGACAGTTTAAATTTGACACTTTTAATGCAATAAAATGCTTTCAATCAAAAAAAAAATAAATAAATTTGTTCCAATCAAAAAATGCGCCAAAACACCCTTGTTACTTCCTCAAACATCCAATTTCATTTAAATCAATATTCTTTTACATATTTTGTGACAGCAGAAACACAAAAAAATTAAACAAAACAAATGAAATTTTAACGAGAATTCTGCAAATTTTCACACAGTAAACAGAAGCACAATGCGACTGATATGAATCACACGAGCGAATATCATGAACTGAAATTATCTGGTGTATAATTACTAGCACCCAACCATCATCACCATTTCAATTGGCGTTATCGCTCATCAAAATTGAAGGATTGTGCTGAATCACAAAGAGTCGTGTGGATTAAAAAAAAGAACTTAGAAGGAAAATCAGCTTAAAATATGTATAAATGAATTATTAATGTGCTGAATATATGAAAGGCACTTAGAACTGTGAACATATTTAGTGACTGTGTCTGTGTATATATCTCGTGAACGCTCATTTAATTGGCATATGTTGACATTGTTTTAATGCTGAAAGAAAGTGACTAAAAGTTTTCTATGTAGAATGAAAGCGTCGTGTCATGTAGGCAATCAACATTTGTGATGTTCTGCCGATTACAGACTCTTTTTCATTCCGTCTGTATCTCACTGTCGGTTGAAAAGCAAAAAGCACAACGATAAAGTTAAATAAAAAAAAAAAAATTCTCGTCGCATTCATTTCAATTTCAACTTACATCGAGTCTGTCTGTCTACCGGCGTTATTTGACATTTGTTGGTGATCATCACTTTGTAGACTAGCTTGATAGATTGTAATATAACAACAATTTTAAACACACAATAAAATAGACACGACAAACGCATTGAAGATGAACTTTTCACTGTATGACTTCATCGTATTGGACTATAGGATTTTATTCCTCATACTGAGTGGTGAGTAGAAACTTTTATGTATTTACCAGAGGTCGAAGCGAGCATAGCGAAGCGAGTTTTTAGCGAGCTCGCTTCGCTAAAAATTCAACTTGCTAAAGTTGACCTGTAGCGAGAATTTTTTTTTCTTTTCGCCTTAGCGAACTATAGCGAACTCAATTTTATTTTTTTCGCTTTAGCGAACTATTAGCGAACTTAATTTTTCAAAGTTCGCTATAGCGAACTATTGGCGAACTAGAAAAATTTTTTTGGCTTCATATTAAGAGATGTCTGATTACGTTTGTGAAGTATATAATTTCATACAAAATTGCAAAAAATTATAGTTCGCCAATAGTTCGCTATAGCGAACTTTGAAAAATTAAGTTCGCTAATAGTTCGCTAAAGCGAAAAAAATAAAATTGAGTTCGCTATGGTTCGCTAAGGCGAATAGAAAAAAATTTTTCTCGCTACAGTTCGACTTTGGCAAGTTGAATTTTTAGCGAAGCGAACTTGGCGAACCAAGTTCGCTTCGACCTCTGGTATTTACTTTTTTAACCTTAATTGGATGGAGGGATAGAGGGTTGTTTAATTAAGAAATGAATGAATCAGGCAGAGCTTGAAGTCGATGAAAATTTGTTTAGAGTCGAGTCGACTTCGAGCTATGGAATTAGGAATTTGGTATGTCAGTTTACAATTGTTTCAAACAAAATTTAAGAATTTTTTAAAAAACCAAAATTTAACAAATTTTGAAAGTTTAAAAATTTAACGGTTTTCGAAAATTTAAAAATTTAACGGTCTTTTTATATTTTGAACTTAAGTTTTTAAAATTTTAATAAAATCATTTTATTCTTGAAACCATTAAAGTCTTCAATTTTAAAAATTAGCTGTGTTTCTCGAATTTCAAATTTTTGTAAAATTTACAAATTTTCAAAGATCGTAAATGTGTAATTTTTTTAAAAGTATGCTAAAATTCAAATTTTCAAAGATCGTTAAATTTTCAAATTTTTAAAAAATATGTTAAAATTCAAATTTTCAAAGATCGTTAAATTTTCAAATTTTAAAAGTTCGTTAAATTTTAAAATCAATTTATTTAATTTCCACAAAAAGCGAATTGACAAACCTGAAAATTTCATAACCAACAAAACAACCTCAATCCCTCCTTTATTGGATACTTTCCAAAAATCCACTGTAATCAACATTTCCGAAATTGCTGCATGATACGTTTATTGCCATTACGAGAGGTTATTAAGAACTCTAGAGACTTGTTTTTATTTCAAAAAATAATATTCTAGCTGGATTTGATGTTGATGATTATTGAGAGGTTTTCAGTTTGTTTTATTTTTGAGAATGCTTATTGCTGTTAAGTATGAACTTAATACTATTTTGTGGGAAATATTCAACACGTAGAAATATGTTTTTTGTAAGATTTTTGCCTCGTGGGCAGATGAAATTACGGTTCTTTTAAGTTTTTGATTTTGAACGTTCTTGCTTAAAGGCATAAAACAGTTTTAGTCATTGAGATTTGGATTTGTAGCTTTGTATAAATTGGTAATCATAGGTTTTTGGGTAACTTTGTGGTATGTGAAATATTGTTTGAGCAAAAAAATTAGAAATTTGTGGTGTATCAAGAAGCTAAGACATACTTCCATAGGAGAGCTAACAAAGAGGAGTTTGTGACTGTTTAACAAAAGAGATTTTCCAAAAAATCGTCTCTTTATTTTTGATAATTGTCTGTTTTCGATCTAGTTCTGCTTGTTATCGTTACTCAGGGCATCTAGTCCAGTCTCTGGACTTTCAATCCATAACTTAGTTTCCAAATCGAGTTAAAAAAGCTTCTTTCATTATTCAAATTTTCAATTTTTTTCAATGACATTTGCAGACAGAAAATTTGAAATTATAATTTTCCAAAAAAAAAACATGAACGAATAAATTAGATTTTGTTATTTCTGTACCAAAAAATACAATAATGTGATTTTAAATAAAGCATAATTCAATACAGCTCGCAGACAAAGCTAAAATAATCAAATTCTATTAATACTTCCAAACTCAAACTCTGCGAATTAGGCAAAAACTCAATTATTGTTTGCTTTAGATGTTCTGGATTGTTAGCATAACAACAGAATCAATCAAAACCTAAATGAATATTTTATCAAGATTATTTTAAATTGAATTATTCAAGTGAAATTATTTCTTGACCTTTTTACTGCCAGAAATAATGTGTATGACATTTTATAATATAATAGAATCCTCCTTCTTACTCTAATTTGATTACTTTATTCTTTGACATTTCAAAAAATCCTAATCATGATAATTAATATAATTAAGGCTGTTGATTTGAATTGACGTTCTTTAATGGAATTACAATGAACAAATCTTGGCTTTTGTTGTTGATTCTAAATTAAGAAAATGTCAGATTTTATTTCCAAAGTTGACGCAAACGTTGTCTTCTTTTGAGACTGATGGATTTACGTTACATGTTGTATAAATATCGTGATGCAGGAATGATTGCTCGTGCTTTTCGAGTGTTTTTTGTCATTAAATAAATCTTTGTGTGCTATTTTTGGATGCGATGTAAAATGTAAGTCATTAATTTGCGCGAGTTTCAATGATGTAATTTTAATTTTAAAAGGATTTGTCCTTGAAAGTGAAATGGATTTAAACGAATTAAAAAAAGGATCCCGAGCAACAATTAGGTTCAAATTGACGAGGAGGCTATGTGGTATTACTATGTCTGTAATATATCTGCTTTACTTGTAGTATAACCATCATCGCTATCAAAATTGATGATATGGTTCTCTCAGTTCTCCCTATAATTGCTGAATGAGTATACTAATGTAATACAAGTCGGGTTCGATAGGAATCGAACCCACGATCTCAAAAGAGGCGATCTCTGACCACTCGATTTTCTGATCCCTGCCAATCAGCCAATGATGTACTTATCTTCCTTCGGCTATACATACAACATAGTCATACACATACAACCAGTTTCACAGTGAGCTCTATGCTCAGACATATCTACTCTTGATATATTCTTCGAGCAATATCCAAACTGGACAAAAATAAGAATAAACATTTAGTAAAAGAACAACCCTAAGTTGCTCTAAAATCAGAAAAATAGTCTTTTTCAGAGCTAGCCGATCAACATTGATGCATACCAATTAATTAACAGTCAGACTTGACTTTTGAAGGTCATTTTGAAAGCGTGATGTCGTTAGAATCAATTTATCAGACAACAAAAATTGTTGAATACTTTCATGTAATCCCAACTTGAATGACATAGTCGAATATCATCTAAAGTCCTAAATTCTTGAATATAAAAACCCCTTTAAGGTCAATGAGCACTTCTAGCTTTTCCTTAATTTCTATAAGATCCAAAACTCTTTTTAACAATATATTTTTCCTTCATCTTAAGTTATTTGAAGTATTATCATATCTGAAGATGTTTGCTCAAGATGGGTTCTGTGTAGTTTTCGTAAATTTTATCCTAAATCAATTGACAGACATTGTCTGGATTCGGATAATATATACTTTTAGGAAAAATGCTCTTAATGTTCATGAAATGTCAAAAAAGGTCACAACGAAAAAATAATTGTTAATTAATTTGTTTCAGCTTCCGAATAAAAAGAACAACTTGAAATTATCCCAAACTTATCACCGAGAAAAAATAAAACAATTTTTGATAAGTTTTTTTGCATCACAAATTGTTTTAAAATTGCAAACATTTGTGACCATTTATATCGCCTTTGATGAATCCTACACCTTTTTTCCATCCTTCCGATTCACAAACCGTTGAAATAATCAAATTACTTCAAGTTCGTCAACCTTCAATTTGCCCCGTCTGCAGCAAAGGAGAAAAATATTCTTAATTAAAACGAAATGAACTTTGTCATTAAAATTTCATTTCCATTTGAATATTTTACAACATTAAGGGGGATAACAGCTTGGTGGGAAACATTGAGGGGATAACAGCTAGGTAGGAAAAATAGAGGGGATAATAACTTCATTTAATCTCAATCATTTTCGTCTTAAATTTTGTTAAGAAACTGGTCAGAATATTTCATAATTTTATTTCTTATCATGCTGGTTTCCCCTTGGAAAATTTTTCACCCATCAAATTGTTTCCCCCTCAAAAAAAATTTTACTTTGCTATTTTAACAAGCTGGAATTTTTTTAAATTTTTCTACAGTTAAATTTTCCTCACCAAGTTGTTTCCCCCCTGAAAATCTTCTTTGTTACACAAACAAGCAAAGTGCTCATCACATACTTACTTCCATTCCAGAAATGTAATTTGGCTGAGAGCAATGAACAAGAAGTAAACTTTCTATTCTGTGTGTGCTTTTTAACCTTTTATGATGCCTTAACACTTTGCATATATCCAAAACGTCTATTCATATAGCTGGTAGCTATTTTAATTGCTGTACAGCTGTAATAAATACTCAAAAACACCATTCAAGCAGCCAACAGCCATTCATGAAGCTAGTTATTTCATTCTGTATATCGTGCAATGCAGTAAAGTGTAATTAGAGAGAGAAGGAAAAAGCATGAGTAGCAAATTTTTCAGAAGCTAGTTTCGTAGTAGAATGGGAAAGTTTTTTTTATTGTATTCAGAAATGTAATTAACGAAACTACGTTTTGTAGAAAATTTTAATGTCACGGAAGCTTAATAAAATTATTTGGAAATTAAGTTTTAGTTAAGTTAAAGGTGCTCATAAGGTATTATAATGTTTTAATGTGGATGTTAGGTGTGCAAATACTGAGAAAATTGGGCATTTAATTCTATTCTGGGTATTGAAGGTTAGGTTTGAGTAATTAAGACAGTCAGAATGATTAAAAATTGATGTTTTCGAAGATCAAGCTTTATTTAAAGTCGCTAACCTTAAAATCATCTCACTTGAGTCTTAAAATCACTAGTTGATACTTGTGTCAATGCATAATAGATTTTAAATGTATCAAGTCATATTTAGCCGATTCTGCCAATGCGAAAGAAACGACTCGGTAGCGAACAAAGCTAAAGTCTGTGACCC